GCGAAAGCGGTGGCGAGAGGCGCATCGGAGACCTACGAGTATCCATGGCGCGAAAAGCTCCAGAAGTTCAAGGGCGAGCTGGCGAAGGGAGTCTGGGGCTACTGGCATCTCGGAGCCTGGAAACCCCTCGGTCTCAGCGCCCGAAAGCGCGCTCGACTTCGCAAAGAAGTGCTCCTCGCTGGAGAGTAAGTAGCGATTTTTGTGAAATTGTTGTTGTTTTCTAGGGTTTTGGTGGCTGATTTAGGGCTTTAGGGTTTTTTAGGGATTGGCCGTACGATCCGCCGAAGGGGGAGATGAGGACGAAGAGGAAAGGGCACAAGGTTGATCGCATTGCCGCTGAGAAGTGAGTTTGTGGTTTTGGAACTTGGGTTTGATTTTAGGGTTTTGGAAAAAGGTTGGGTCTTGATTATTGTTTTTTTTATTTGATGTATTAGGAGGGCGAATACGGTTGAGTTGATGAAGAAGATGCCAGAAATGCTACTGGATTACAAGGTTTGGGTTCCAAAATCAAGTCTTTTTATTTCAATTTTAAGTTAGAGCGTTTTTCTTTTAGATTAATCTCTGTATCTATGTTTTGGGTTCAAACATCAAGTTTTTTTTATTTGATGTTGATGTTTGAGCATAGTAAATCAAATTTTTTTAGGGTTCACACGTAGTACATAAAAATTTGGCAGTAGGGGGCTGTTCGTTTCGCAAAAAAAAAGGGAAATCAAAGAATAGGAAACCTATTTTCTATAATAATTGTTTTGAGGTTGTTTGGTTGGATTAAAAAAGAAGGAAATTATAGAATAGGAGATGAGTTGAGATGAGTTGTCACCTTATTATTAGATGATGTGAGAGATTTAAAAAAAAATTGTTTTGAGGTTGTTTGGTTGGTTAAAAAAATAAGGAAATGAATTGGAGGTATATTATTGGATGATGTTTTGAGGTTGTTTGTGTTTGGTTCATTTTTAAAAATAAGAAAATAGACGAGATGAGATGAGTTGGACGTATATTATTGGATGATGTGACACATACTTAAGGAAATCAATTTCTTGTTTTTTTGAGGAAATGGATGGTATTATTGGATGATGTGACACATACTTAAGGAAATCAATTTCTTGTTTTTTTGAGGAAATGGATGGAAAGGAAGGTTTAATGAGATGGGATGAGTTGTCACAATATTATTGGATGATGTGTGTGATTTTTAAAAATGAGATAAGATGAGATGTGATGAGTTGGATGATGTGACACATTTCTTGTGTTTGGTTTATTTTTATAGGTAAGAAAGGAGATGAAATGAGGTGAGTTGGATGATAAAAATAATATTTTATTGGATGTTATGGGTGAGTTTTAGGGATGTAAATGGATAAAAATATTATTTTATTGATTTCCTTGTACCGATTTCCTTTTCTTTGATTTTAGAAAACCAACCAAACGGGCCCTAGAGCAATTCGGAAAATTGAAGCTACTAGTTGTTACTGTTTTCTGACAAAATATTAGTAGCACAAAATATGTTAGCCGTTATGCACAAAAATGTAACTTATATACAGGGAAGCGTGATGGAATATGTGTGCAAACATTTGGACATTTTTCTGTTTAGACGTTACCTGATTTAGATTAAAAGAATGAATCTTAGTTATGGTAAAAAGCTAGGTGGAGCAGAACATATTATCATCTGTACATAGACATAGCTATAAAACATATGTGAGCCGATCTACACAATCTGTTACCTGGTCTTCTAGTTCTAAGCTTGGAGACAAAGCTAGTTGCTCAGTCCTTATTTTGTGTAGGTAACTCCAGATTATCCTGAATTAGCTCCG